TGGGTGGCTCTGGGCATCTTTAAGGTGCTGGTCTCCCCATGAGGACAGGTGACATGCCTAGGGGGGTGGGCAAGCAGTGGCAGAGAGGGCTCCAGCCCTCTCCAGCCTTTCTTTGGCTTCATGGCAGGTGCCTCTGCACCACTCTGGAGCTTCCTCTGGGTGAAAGAGCTTGTGGGAGCAAGCATGGGAAGGTGGCGTGGGCTGGCAAGGTGCCTGCCCTGAGCTGCTGCTGGAGAGCACTTGGAGAAACCCTAGTGGGGACAAACCTCCCTTCCCCAGGAACTTGTGCTTTACAAACCCCAATCTATTGCAGAGCAGATCATTCCCAAACAGGCACTTTCCCTGCAGCCTCCCCATGCCAAATACCTCCAGCTACAGTGCTTGGCTCCTCCTGCCCTGGGCAGGAGCACTTTTTTCCGGCTCATTTTTGGGGAACACCTTGCTTGGAGTTGCGATGACCTTCAGAGGCAGGAGGGCAGATAACCACATCCATGAAAGCAACACTTGGCTGCCTGGATGAGGGGTGGCTGCTGGGAGTGGGGGAGGGAGGACACTGGGAAGATGCACGAGGTGTGTTTTGCTTCCAAAAGTCTCTGCCAAGTGAAAGAGTCATTTTTCAAGCACTGGCTTGCCCATACATGTCCCCTGGGTGTGGCCCACCACAGATGCAGGTTCCCAGCCCTGCTGCCATCGCCCTTTCTCTGCTTCTTGGGGCAGTGGGACAGCTCAGCCTGACAGGGGTGTCTCCTCCAGCCCTTGGTGACAAGACACCAGGAACAGGACCAATTTAAAAAGCAGCAAAATCGGTCCCTTTGGCACCCGTGTAGTCCTCTCTGCTAGGCTGGGTGGCACAAGGTGGGTTGTCTGCAAGGGAGGAGTATGTCGGTCCCCAGGGATGCTCCAGGCACACAGGGGAGCTGCTCACCCCTTCCCCAAAGGTTTGCCCAGGTTCAGCATGTGGCTCTGCAGTCAGTGCCCAGCCTGCTCAGCACCCAGCCTTGCCAGTGAGAAAAGCAACACCCAGCTCAGCACCCATTTGCCTTTTAAATGCTTTGCCTTATTACATTAGTGTATCTTTGCCTAAGCAGCCTTCCAGCACTGCCTGTTGCAACAGAGGCTTAGCGCTGGAGATGGGTTATAAGGGTCTGCCCTGCCCTAAATGCATATAAAAAACCATAAATCCCATGAGAAGACACTGCTGGAAAACAAGACTGGCTTGGCTCCACTGCTGGAGCCCCACTGTGCAGCAGGGCTGCCACCCCAGCCACTGCAGCAGAGGGGCTGCAAACTGAGCCCCCTGGGGCTGGGCACCCAAATCCTGCACCAGAAACAAAGCTGGGGCACGGATGGGGTTTCCCCTCACAGGAAGAGCCTCAGGCACCAACTGCTCCCTGTTCCCAGTGACGTGCCAGGGTGAGATGTGGGCACACACCTCTGCACCCTGCTGGTGCCAGCCTGCCCTGCCTGCTCCTGGTTCTGCCTGCACATCCATCTGGCAGAGGTGGGAACCCCCAGCCTCAATGCCCTTTCCAGCCTCCCCAAGAGGGACTTGAGGAGAGGAAAGCTACAGGATAAATGGAAAGAGTGCGGGCACCCATGTGAGGCACTGGCCTGGGATATATCCAGCACCTAGCTTTGACTATGGCTGCACTCAGTGAGGTACCTGAGAGCTTTCTGGTCCCCTCAGGAGCATTTTCTGTATAAAAAAGTACTTTTGATGAAGCAGGAACTGCTCTCAGCCTGCAGACAGCTGTGTATAGCAGGAGAGCGATGGGAGCCTTTGCTTGATGCAAGAAGAGGCTGATGTGCTTTATCCAGCCCCTCAAAGAAAAGGCCAGCTCAGTTTGCAGAGGAGGTTGGAGGTCACCAAGCATCCCCCTGGGGCATCCAAGGGGAGCCAGGGCAGGGGGTCCTGGGCACAACCCCAGTCAGGCAGCCCTGCAGCTGCCCATGGGGCTGCATTCAGTTCCACTTTTTCTGGCTCTGCATGAGCCCCAGAGGCATGATGGATGTTCATGACCCTGCTGACATGATGATGACACGTGCCCTGTGCAGACAGGGTGTGCACCCTGTGCAGAGGAGGGATGCACTGGGTGCAGAGGGGACGAGCACCCTGTGCACATGACACACACCCTGTGCCGAGGGGACAAGCACTGTGTGCAGAGGGGAGGTGCACCCAGTGCAGAGAGTAAACATACCCTGTGCAGAGAGTAAACACACCCTGTGCAGAGGTGACAGGCACGTGTGCACAGGGGAAATACACCCTGTCCCCAGGGAAAATGCACTCAGTGCAGAGGGAAAATGCACTCAGTGCAGAAGGGGAATCATAGTCATAGAATTGTTAAGGTGGGAAAAGCCCTCTAAGGTCATCAAGTACAACCATTACCCCAGCACTGCCAAACCCACCACTAAATCATGTCCCCAGGTGATAGACCTACATGTCTTTTAAATCCCCCCAGCCGTGGTGACTCCACCACTTCCCTGGGCAGCCTGTTCCAGTGCTTGGCAACACTTTCAGTGAAGATATTTTTACTAATATCCAATCTAAACCGCTCCTGGCACAGGAGTGACGAGCACCCCATGCTCAGGGGATGGGCAGCCAGGGCAGAGGGGACGGGCACCTGGTGTAGAGGGGACAGCGCCCCGTGCACCCACTGCAGAGGGGACGGGCACCCACAGAGGGGACAGCACCCACCGTTCGGAGGGCTCGGGCCCCACCGCAGGAGCGGCTCCTCCCGCGCCGAGCCCTTCCGCAGGGATCTGCTGCCACCTGCCTGCCCGCAGCACCGCGTCCCTGCCCGTCCCCGCTTCCCGCCGTGCCATCCTGTCCCTGCTCCCCTGCTCTCTGCCTGTGCCCGCTATCCCGGGTCCCTGCCTGTCCCCATTCCCCCGGTTCCTGCCTGTCCCTGCTCCCCCCCGGGTCCCTGCCTGTCCCCATTCCCCCGGTTCCTGCCTGTCCCTGCTCCCCCTCGGGTCCCTGCCTGTGCCCGTTCCCTCCCGGCCTCAGCCCCTCAGGACGGCTGTTCCCCCCTCCCGTCCCAGAGGCACCAGCACCGCTCTCCGGGCAGACCAGGACTCTCCTCCTCTCGCTGGAAAGGCGCCCCGGGAGCCTGGACGGGCTCAGGGAAAGGTGGGATGGCACGGCCACCCTGCCAGGGCACCATCCCGTCAGGACGCCCATCACACCAGGACGTCTGTCCCAGCAAGGCACTTCCATCCCACAGGGCACCCATCCCACCAGGACATCCATTCCACCAGGGCATCTGTCGGGGACAAGTGCACCCCTCAAACTGTCTGCCCCAAACACTCCAGCGCCAGAGCGCCCTCCCCCTGCTGATTTTTGGGATGAAGTTCCACGGTTGGTTTAACTGGGCACCCTGTGGCCCAAGCCCCAGCACAGCAGACCCCAGAGCATGGAACAGCCCATGCCACAGAGAAAACATACTTTATATGTGCCAGGCCTCAGCATATAGTGCTAAATACACCAGAAATTGCTAAACCTACAGATTTACAAAGAACACGGACTCCAGGGAGCCAGGCAGGCATGCAGTATCGGAAAAAAAATGATTTTTTGGTGACACCAGCCAGCTGCTGAACAACCAGTGAGTGTCACTATTCAGGGAGAGCAACCTCCCCACCTCAGAGGGGGAGAATTCAGCGTTTGCACTTTTTTTTTTTGCTGGGGAAGGTGGCTGAGCTGGAATGGCTGTGAGTCACCTTCACCCCCTTGGAGACCAAACCCTCCTGGAGCTCTGGCAGTCTTGGTGCTGTGCCCACTGCCCTGGGGAGCCTGGGCAGTGCCCGACCCCTCTGGGGAAGAACCTTCTCCTAATATCCAAGCTAAACCTCCCCCGACTCGGCCGCACGCCGTTCCCCCGGGTCCTGTCCCTGAGAACGAAGGGATCTGTATTCCCTGGATTTCTCCCGGCGTTCCCGCCGCGGCGCGCGCGGGGCCGGGCGGAGTGGCGGGGGGCAGCCTCGAACCCGCGATCCCCGGAGCCGCCGCCCCCGCCGCGCCGTGCGCGCGTGCCTCCGAGAGCGCCTCGGCGGCGCTGTTCTCGCGAGGGGGCGCATGGGGGCGGGCCGGACCAATAGGAGCTCGCGGCTCGGGGAAGCGCGGCGGCTCGGCCAATGGGGACGCGGGGAGGGAGGCGCGGGCGACCAATGGGGGCGCGCGGCGCGGGGCCGGCGGGCACGGCGGGCGGCGCGGGGCGCAGAGCACAGGTGAGGTGCGGGCGGGGCGGGCGCCGCGCGGGCGGGACGGGGCTGCGTGTCCCGCCGCCTCCCCTCCCTCCTCCTCCTCTGCCCGCTGTGGCTCCTCACCCCCCGCGCCGGGCCCAGAGCCCCCCGGCAGCCGTCCCCCGCCCGCGGGGCCCGTGCAGGCCGCTGCGGCGGGAGGCTGGCGGGGAGCGCTCGCGGGCCTTCCCGTGTGGGGGCTCCCCGGGAGTTGCCGCGTGTCGCTGCCCGAGCAGAGCTCACGCAGCGGGGCCGGCTGCGGGTGCCCGAGGACGGGTCTGTGCTCCCGAGCCGGGTCGGCAGCGCCGAGCCTGGCTGTAGGAGAGGAGCTTAGCGTTTAACCGGGGTGCCGTGGTGGGGCTGCAGGAAGCTGAAGCTCGTTGTTTGGGGAGGTTTCAGGAGCGCGGGGTTGTGCGTGCGCGTGGTTTGGTGTCTCTGTTTCAAGTTCTGTGCGTGGGGGTCGTTCCTCAGCACGGCAGGGGTAATGGTTGGTTCCCAGGGAATCATAGAATGTTAAGGGGTTGGAAGGAACCCTAAACTAGTCCCAACCCCACCTGCCATGGGCAGGGACACCTCCTGCTAGACCCTGTTGCTGAAGGCCTTGAACACTGCCAGGCTTCAGGCAGCCACAACCTCCCTGGGCAACTTGTTCCAGTGTCTCACCACCCTCTCAGTAAAGAATTTCTTCCTAATATCCAACCTAATTTCCACTCTTTCAGTTTGTACTCATTACTCCTTGTCCTGTCACTGCAGTTCCTGAGGAAGGGCCCCTCTCCAGCTTCCCTGTAGGCCCCCTTCAGATACTGGAAGGTTGCTATGAGGGAAAGAGCACCTGCTGTCCTGTGTCTGAGCTCATGAAAGGCACAGTGCTCACAGCCCTGCCCCTGGCTCAACTGCTGTTTCACAGCAGATTTTGTTAAGCTTATGTGTCCTCGTAGTTCGTAGAATATCCTGAGATGGAAGGGACCCACAAGGATCACTGAAGTCCAGCTCCTGGACCTGCACAGCACAGCCCCAAGAATCACACCAAGAAGCAACCACTAAGTTGCCAGGCATTGCTTTTGTGTATGCCTGGCGGGATGCAGAAGGTAAACCATATATGATGTTTGGGGCTCTGGTGTTTTTCAGGTCAGTAAGTTTGGTGCAGGAGAGGATAGCTGTCTTTAAATACTTAATGTGGACCCTTCACCCTGTCCTTGAAGGAGATGATGATTAGCCCTTTCCCTTTACCCCAGCTCACAGGTCCTCTCTACCAACAGCAGGTCTCACTTCTCAGGTAAAAGAGGTGAAAATGACTGTAAGGATTTCTTACAGCACACCTGGGATGCAGAGCTCTGTTCCTGAACCTGAAGAGTGCTACTTGTTTGTCTCTCCTGGGCAAGATAATATGTTACAGGTGTGGTTTTCCCGGAGTCATCATAAAGGGCACACAGTGTACAGAGTAACTTGCTTTCCCTGTTTGGTCCCAACTGCAGGCAACAGCCAGACTTCTGTGAAGCAATGCTGAGGCATCTTTGTGTTAAACCCTGAGCTGTGGATGCACTGAGTATCTGTATCTAATTAGCAACTACTGTGGACTGTCAGGTGCTATCTGCATGCCAGCATTATTCTAACCCAGAGTATCTGAACAGCAAGTGGAAGGGTTTGAATTAAAGTCCAGGTGCAAAGAAGGGCTGTTTCTCTTCTGCAATATGGTCACGGTGTTTTAGGGACAGTTGTTGTGGCACAGAGAGCTAAGGTGAGGGTGACAAAGAAACACCAGTTCCTGTGTACTTCACCACTCTTCACTTATGTTTTGTCTTAAAAAGGTTTCCTACCCCTTGGGAAAACTTACAAATAGAAAAAGCTTAAAATTGCTTGGAGAATGTACATGATTCTGTCATCTAAATCCATAATGTTTCTGTGGTGCTGATATGACAGGGAATTTGGTGAGGGGGCAGGATATGGGGTTTCATTTAAGGAATTTCAAATGATAAACCAAATGGTCTATTTAATGAGGGTCAGTTTGCTACCCTTAGTGGGAAGTTAGTGCCCTGCTGAGTTGGGTGAGAGTCAGGTGCTTAAAATAAGTACTAAATGTTTGGAAAGGAGGGAGGGTGGTAAGATGACAAAGCTTCCAGCTGAGTCAGTTACTCAGGACAATGGGGGTTGAGACCACTGTGAGGAACTTATGGCAGATAAAAGGCAGTGTTGAAAAATATGTGATAGTATGTATTGGAAGAAATCACTTAAAATGCCTACTCTTCAGTTCCAGGTTAAATAATGAACAGTGTAGAGAAGAGCTGTGTGCTCTTGTTTCTCCTTTCTCACAGCACAAGAGCAAATAACTGAATGTTATTGCCTTTAAAACTGAAAAAAAAAACATTTTTGTTCAACATACATACTGTAAGGACTCTTTGGGGCCATAAAAAGATTGAACTTTTGCATGTCTACCTACAGATGAGATGAAGAAGAGAAGATGCAGGACTGAAAGTCTTTATGGGAGGCAGAGGAGCATTGATTGAACGGTAGTAGAAGAAACAATAGGTTTGGAACATTGTTGTGTGGCCTATTCAGGAGCTTTTAGGTATTTGTTTTTAAGCTGGCCTATCCTGATTTCATCTAGTTTTAGAGTAACTAGGGTATGGAAGTTTTCCCTCTGTTAGGTTTGATTAAATGTTTATTATTGTGCTTTACTGGCTAGAGGGTGAAAGTGTGCAGCAAATATTTGGGTTGTACCTGGTCACTTTCATTTGGAAAATGAAATTTTCATGGAAGATAAGGCAGGAAGAGACCTCAAGAGTTGACCCCAATGGTTTCTCCTGCTACTGGTGAGGGATAAGAAGGTCTCCACCCTTTCTACTTTATGCCTGTCCTACTCTTCAAGATCCCCAGTATCAGTGTCTGCATCCTTAGAAGGCAGCTGATTCCAGTGTCTGTCTAATATCCTATAAATGTAATTGTGCTATCCTTTAAAAACAAACAAAAATCTGACCACCTGCTCTTCGATTTCCATCTCTGCATTTCTTAATCAGCTCCCCTGTCTGTAACAGGGGGATTATGTTGCTGACTTCCTCTCTGAAATGTCTCAGTGTCTGCTGCTGCCAAGAGCCATGCAAGAGCTGGGTATAATTGCTTCTGCTCACACAGAATTCTCCAGGCCTGCAAAATGGGCCTTTTACTTATTCATTTTTATCTCAGTAGACAGAAGCTGCCACACTCTCTGGAGCAGCCCAGGCTTGGAGCCTGTTGGAAAAGCACTTCTGCCTCAGATCTTGGCTGTAGCAAGTAGAGAATTGCCGGCTTTCTCTTACCACTGCACTCTTCTGTCTGCCCTCCCCAGGAAGCTGATCCTGACTCATCAGACTGGGTCTCTTGGGCACCCTCAGGTTGGAGCCTCTGTGAGAGGCCCGTGCTGAATTTCTTCCTCTTCGTTTCCTGTTTTGAGGAATCTTTCTGCAACTTGGGGAACTCTTGGCCCATCAGTTATTCTGAATGTAGTGGGTGAGGCTTTCCTTCTCCCCTCTGATGTCTTCCTCCTTTCTTTTTCCCACAGCACTGGAAAAATCTGAAGTTTTTACTCTGTTTCTCAAAGTTAATTAATTAGATGACACGAACCATGTCAGCATGTGAAGTACAATAGACACTTCCACGTGCTGGTTGGAGTATTTCAGCTTTGTGTCTTTAGTAATCTAGTACAGCAAAATGTTTATGGTGGCCATATTTGGAGTAGAATAGGTACAGCATTCTTCCTTAGATAGTGTTGTAGTGCTCTTGAGAAGTTTTTAGCATTTCTTAGGTAATAAATCATCAATTATAATCAGTCTGAAGCGACTTAAGAAACCTGTCATCCTTCCTATTTTTGGCTTAAATTCAGTTCACTTGTACAATATATAGTGCTTATGTGTGGTTTTGAGTGTTGGGGAAACATTAAACTGGGGTTTAATGGAATCATAGTCTAATGCAGGATCTTCTATTGATAAGTCATCAAAGTTGTTTTAGTGAAGAACCTTTTCAGTCCTGGCTTTTAGCCCAAGGTCGATCTAGTTTCACCGAAGTTAATTTAATTTCTGACGTATTTTCTTTCCTTTAGGTGTCAGTTGTTGCTCCTTCCCCAGCCAGACATGAAAGTCTGCCATCACTCTGCTCATTACTGTGGTAGCAGTTTCCATCTTGCACAGCAGCCTGAAGAGTCAGACTGCAGTCTTTTGACTGTAGTAAATTCTGTCAGGGTGGAGACAAAGTTGTTCATGCTGTTACGAAAATACGAATATTCAGTCTAAATATTTGAATTCTGTCACTTAGAAAAAGCTGTTTAGTGTTGGCTCTCTAAGTTTTGAATTGTCCCTTCCAGTGCTTGGTTATAATCACAGGTACTTCTAACTTGCTCCAAAATAACTAGTTTATTCTGTATTTGCTGAATTGAGTTCAGTCTCACAGAGTTGTTGCAGTTGCCCTGCACAGGCAGATTTATGGGACAGACCTTACATGGTATTGGTGTGGTGTCTGTGGCTGAGATGTGCAGGTTTGGGAGCGGTTCTCTAGCACTGATTCTTCATGGTTTCTGTTTCAGCACTCTGAGAAGTCAGTGCTTCTTACACTGCTGGCTTTTTATCTTGGTAATGAAAAGAGGAAGTGGACCAGATCGGATCAAATCAGGCTGATGTCTGCGCTGTTCTCTCAGTCACTGCTCCCTGAGGAGCTGATCAGTTCGTAGCTGTACAGAATGTGGCTGTTCTGGTCAGTGTCTGCCAACAGAGGCTGTTCCTGGCAGGGGTGCACCTGAGTTATCGCAAGTAAACACTGGAAAGATGTTCTGTACTGCATTGCAGGGCATGAAACTGCTTATTTCCAGCCTCCTCCTCCCTGTTCCGCTCCATCTCGGTGGCACGCTAATCTGGGCAAACAAATCCCGTCTCTGCTATCTCACCTGATTAGGAAGTCAGTGCAAATCCGATCCCTGCCTCCCCCAGCAGCTCCCAGCTTCCCAGAAGTGTGTGGGGAGTGCTTGTGAAATTCTCCCTTCCTGGATGCCGGCTGGTGGGGTTTGTCCTGGCACCCAGGCGGGAGGGATGGGTTTCTCTCTCTAACTGCATATGTCTGAATGAATCATCATGCAGTGCTTTTAAATCATTTGTCCAGACAGAGGAAGGCACTGCTACTGGTAGTTGTGCTTGGGAATGGTGGCGAGACTGAGAACGTGAGGAATGTTCAAACTGTGCTGTAAAATTGCTTTGGTGTGGTTGAGGGGTACCAAGAAATACTTGAATTGCAGGCTACTGTTGGTTTGTAAAAATCCCTGTTTTCTTCTCGGTGGGCTCCCTTGAACCAGATAGTCCCCAGTGATTTTACTTTGGAGTAAATGATAAAGAGCTGGAGCTAATGCTTGAGATCTGGTTCCCCTTATTTCATCCCAGGCCCTCTGGTTTTGGGTGCACATGCTATGAGAGGCTGTACTGGAGATTTCCATCTCCAGCACCACGGATGTCCGCGATCTTCAGTGGCTTTACACAGGTGCCCAGTGCTCCTCTCATGTTGGTGTTTTAGCTGCAAGTCATGATTTGGTGTGTGAAGTTGAGGGTGTGGGTTTCATATTTTGTTAATGTGGACACAACTGCAGCCACGTCTCTGTGCACAGTGATCCCAAGCACATACACTCGTGTCCTTTCTGTAACAGCAGCGGCTCCATTCTGAGTTCAGAACTGCACGATGCATTAATGCCCTTGTCTGGTACAGCCCTTGCCTCATGCTCTATAGTTTATTTAATTATTCTCTCATTGGGTCTGTGCAAGGAATTCTTACACTGGTAAAACTCTCTGCAGGCATTGAAATTAGACACAGGTCTTCTGCATTGGAACAAAGTGTACTTCTTTTGACTGGGGGTTAATGAAATATGGAATAACACATTTTAATAGCTAGTTATGGCTGTCTATGTACATCTATAGCTCTTAACCTCATGTTTATGTGTGTTTTCAGCCCTCCTATATTCCTATCGTGCATATGTATGCATCTGTTTATAATATATAAAAATACAGAATGATAGAATGGAAAGGGACCCATAAGGATCAGGGAGTCCAGTTCTCTAAGCTATTTATTTATGTGTGTGTACAAGTAGTTTATGGCTAAATTAACACTAAATTCTCCTTGAGACTTCTCTGCTTTTACTCTCCTTTGTATTAAGGCAATATATGAACTGTCATATGGGATCTGCATCCCACTTCTGACAGGTCCATAAATTGCAGTCCTGCAAGGGAAAGCTCTCTGAGACCACTTGAAAGGATTTCCTTGACGTTTAATGCTTGGGGAGGATGGACAGAGCATCCTGTTCTAGAAGACCTGCTCTTGCTGGTCAGTCTGTGACCCTGCAAGTGTGGAAACAGTTTATAGCTGATCAGGAATTTTCTCTCTCTCTCCGAAGTGTGTCTTGAGTGAAACCTGCCGCAGAGATGGACACGGACGGCTTTGGGGAGCTGCTCCAGCAGGCAGAACAGCTGGCAGCTGAGACAGAGGGGATCTCGGAGCTGCCTCACGTGGAACGGAACCTGCAGGAGATCCAGCAGGCCGGGGAGCGGCTGCGCTCCCGCACCCTGACCCGCACCTCCCAGGAGACGGCCGACGTGAAGGCGTGAGTGTGGGGCACTGGCACTGCCATCCTGTGTGGGGCACTGGCACTGCCATCCTGTGTGGGGCACTGGCACTGCCATCCTGTGTGGGGCACTGGCACTGCCATCCCCGTGTGGGGCACTGGCACTGCCATCCTGTGTGGGGCACTGGCAATGCCATCCCCGTGTGGGGCACTGGCACTGCCATCCCTTTTATGGGGCACTGGC